CTCTGGAGAGAGGAGAGGAGAGAGAGGAAAGGAGAAAGAAGAGAGAAGAGAGAGGAGAGAAGAGAGGAGAGAAGAGATAGGACAGAGGAGAGAGGAGAGAGAAGAGAGGAGGGAAGAGAGGAGAGAAGACAGGAGAGAGGAGAGGAGAGAAGAGAAAAGAGAGAGGAGGAGGAGAAAGAGGAGAAAGAGGAGAAAGGGATGACTCTGGACCTAAGTCTCCTAAGTGGTTTCGGTCGTGGGGTGTTATTATCATTGCATGTACGTGACACGTGTCTGCATTCGGGTTCGTGGCTCCTATCTGGTTTGCATATGAAGCGCGGTCTTTTTTTATGCTGGTCTAGGGCTGTAAGGGGACCGACACGAAGATTTGAAAACAGCATTGTTGCAAAACTTGTTGCCTCCCTGTAATTCATATGCGCTTCGCATTGTTTGAATGCAAACCATGTAGATGCCAGCAGCGAACATTCACCTGCAGAGATTTGAAGCCTGACAGGCACATCAGGAAACAGATGCCTGAGAATTGTCATGTCGACTACTTTCCGTTAATCATCCTCAGGCGTGAGTGGCCCGAGCCGGCCACTCGGGCCTCTAAGAGTCCCTCGCGCGCTCATAGACTCTTGGAGGTAGGCGCCGCCCGCTCAAAATGAACGTGCGCAACACGTAAAGTGGAAGGCCTCACAGGTCTTTGCATCCAACACATATATTGGCAAGTTGTCATTCCCGGCCACCTGTTCACAGTCGAGGCGACGGGCGACAACGTCACATTCCATAAAAAAAAAAAAAAAAAAAGATCCTCATTCAGTGTTCTTATATTCCATACGGCAGCTTTTTGGTGAACAATCGAAAGCAGCCTTGCTCAGATTCCTCGCAAGTAGTTTGGTTTCTTTATTCCATACCAGATGGCAAGATTTCGGCCTCATCGCCGCCAACGACGATGGCACAAGAGGATGACGTACAAAATCAGGTATATCTTCTCTGCAATGTTCTATTGCTTAATTGGTGTAAAGACTTTTGTGTTAGTCTTTCTTCCAACCCAGGCAATAGTGGCGACTCCACCCAGGTGAGGTCGCAAAAGATGACACCAGCAACAGAGTCCAAGAAAAAACGGGCGAGCGAGCAGCAGGTGGCACTCATCAACAAGCAGAGCACAGCAGAAACCACAAAACGTGTGCACGCAGCGTTGCTGTGTTGGGCTGATGCGCAAGCAACACAAGCTACCACAGAAGCCTTTGAGACCCGAATCCGACAAAACATGCCAACAGCCACAATACGAATACAGCCACGCACACTTCAGGTTCTCACTCGCTTGTGCGCTACCACTGCGTATGTGCTTCATACGCAAACAGCACGCTATGAGCACATAGCGGACTTGGGCGTAATTTTGCATGCCCATTTCTCACACGCCATGCCTGTGGCATACAGCACCAAACGCACCACAGATGCAGACACTGACGTCACTCTCCTTGTAACGTCAGCATGCCGGCTTGCGTTACTCACACAATGGCAAGCGTTGCGGGGATCTAAGCGGCAGCAACACGCAGTTCAGCGATGCAGACCACTTTCCAGCCAAGTGGCTGCAGCCATTCTTGGCACGCAGCTGCCACGGCAGGACCACGGCCAAGAGCTATGCGATTTCCTCAGCAAGCAGCTGTGGACGCCCCTCCTCAAGCCAGACCAGCACAACGCTGTGCTGTACCAACTTGCCTCTGCGCAGCACCTGTACATTGGCCACACAAAGCATGCGACTAAAACACAACAATGCAAAGCATCATCACCTTGCAACCGGTTTTACCAGCACCTCCAGGAGATTCGCACCGGTCATGTTAGCAGATACAAACAAGTTTCTTCTACCAACAAACTTCGGTGTTTCAGAAACCAGCACCCCGCAGACATCCACATCTGGGTGCTTGCCTACGGCCCTAGCCCAGAAATCCAGGCGCTAGAAGCCACGGCCATCCGCACATGGAGGCCTGATGCCAATGACCGCGAGCTTGGCACAAAGAAGCAACGTACACAGCAGCGTAGGCTTTTCAAGCAACACAACAGGCATCGGCCCCCTGCACACTTGCGATGCCGACCCCAACCCTTGTCTCGACACACGAGTTGGGCCAGCTCAGCTGAGAAGATGCTACGTGTGAGGCAGCAGCAAGACCTTCACGCTAGCAGACAAGCCCAGCAACACCAACTCAGCTGTAAAGCGTTTTCTCACACATACAGACACTTTCAGCAGCAGATGGTAAGCCCTGGGCCACTCGACATTGCAAACCCAGCGATGCGAAGCCTCCTTGTTTCCTGGATCTGCGACCGGAACATGCCACCTGACTGGGAAAGCCTCTTGCAACGCTCACAATGTAACGTTGACACTTTCATCGATGTTGCCCGCGCCATGGAGCGTCTCCCGAAATGCTGGGCCACCGGGCGCGGTACCAGAAGAATCAATGCCATCCTGCGCCGCCACCACCTTCCAACAACACACAAGCTCACAGTACACTGGCCTGCTGAGCTACCCCTCAACCTTTTCCACGTTTCACTTCCACGCATTTTGTGCGAACACCACATCTCATTTACACCAAAACAGCTGGCATGGATGCGCAGCCGTGCCCGGGTCACCCTGCAACCGCCACCAAAACACAGCAGCAAGTGGAACCACATACGCACTTGCAAGCAAGCCAGCGCAGCACCTCCACACAGAGAAGCGGACATCCAGCAAAATGATTATATCCAGCACAAACTTTACTGGAAACTTCCAGTCAAGCGCTTGCGTGACCAGATCCTTGGAGCTGCAATCAACAGTCTTCGCAAGTTCGCAAAAGCTACACGACTACGCCATAGCAAGCAATGGCAAGGATGGCTTCGAAAGCAATCCATTCACCCACCAACCTCCCCGGGAGAGGATGCACTATACGATGCATACACGACCCATATGAAGCCAGCAAGCCCAGATGCAGTCCTTGTGCAAGAAGACAAGGACAAACCAGCAGCGTGGAGACTACGTAAAAAGACATACCTGAGCGAAGTTTTCCGGCTTTTAGATGCAGATGCAGACCATTGGCTACAAGTTAACGGGTCTGCGTCCTCTGTGGCGGAGGAGCACAGACAAAACCACGAGCAGAAACTCCCCAAACACAGGCAATACCTCGCAAACAAGCAGAAGTGGACGCACTACAGCCTTCCCTCCATGCCATGTATTGCAACATCAAAGCCAAGTGTCACACGCCACACCAGGGGCGAACATGTGCAACAACATCTCATGCCTGTTACCGCCGTGTTTGCAGTTGGTACAAGCACCCCCTAAAGCGGTACTATAGGTCAGTCGGCCGTGCGGTGCAACACTTGGTCGACAGTGTTGGCCAAGCATACGAAACCAGCAGCCTAAAAACTGCAGCAGCAGACTTCAAGGCGAAAGCTTCTCAACTCAGCAGCAGTCCTAATTCTCATCTTTGCGCAATTTGCAACAAGCACAAGCAACAATGGAGCATCATTGTTGCAGATGCTGCTCAGATGTTTGAAGAGATCCCTGCAAACACAACCCTTGAAAGGCTACGGTGGTTCATTCGGACAGCCAAAACCCAGACAGGCAGCGCCGGAGTCTGTGTCCTTAAAATTCGGCGCGCGCACGCTTGGCACTGCACCACAGTGCCGGAGCAGGCGTGCCACACAATGCTCTATATTTCTCACACGAAGAAATCCAGGCAGTATGTGAACTAGCAGTGCTTCAGCGTGAGGTTGCCTTAGGAGACAGGCTGTGTTCACAACAGCGTGGAGTTCCCATTGGTGGACCATTAAGCAAACAGCTGGCTTCAGTTTTCCTTGGATATGACGAGATAATGTTTGAGCAAAACCACGGTGCCTTGCAAAGTCTTGGACTCGACATTAGAGGCATGAGCCGTAAGGACATATACTGCTTCTCAAGGTACGTTGATGACGTTGCGGGAGCTAGTGGGCTGTTGTGTTTTGAGTGTTTGAAGCGCATGATTTCTGTGATTTATTCAAAGCCTGTCCGTTTTGAGGAAAATCCTGAACAACCTATTGTTACAGCTTGGTTGGATTTTTGGATTTCCACGCGTACTGGCAGAATATCGTTTGAGATGAGCCATGCTGAAGAACAATACGTACTGTCTGGTGGTTCTGAGCTCCCAGGCAAAATCCGGATTCCGCCATATCTCGGTAAGCAGTTTTTGGATCCGAATCTGCGCAGCATGGTGGGAAACAAGTTGATTGGCATGAAACAAGTAGGTTTGGATGAAGCAGAACTCAGGCAAGCTGTTTGCCGAGAAATTCAGCTATGGGTCCTAGCTGGCTATCCTCGAAGTATCTTGCAGCAGTTATTCTATAACCCTCAAGCAAACCACGAAGCCACCATGATAAGCGTGAACATCTTCAAAGGTTGGCGTGAGGAGTTGCCTCACCTACAGCGAATCCAGCCCGCCAACTTGTGCATGATCATGTCTGGTGCCATTTGCCAAGCACGCATACTGCGTAGCTATTTGGCTTACACTGGTTGTATTCCCTCAAACAAAGCGCTGTGAACCATAATTCCCATCTAATGGGCTGGGGAGGAAAAGGCAAGCACGGAGACGCGGGCTACAACTGGAAGTGGAGTTCCAAGGGCTATGGCAAGAGCAGGGGCAAAGGATACACGTATCCAGTCGCAGAGCGGCAGTCTAACAGCCTGCTACCTGCCATCAAGGAAGCTCGTCAGATCGCAGAAGACTTGAGCCAGATAGCTTGCGCAGCGACAAGTGCTTTCGGCTTCTTTAGCAACTCTCAGCAGGGCCCACCAAAAGTCGAGCCCTGCACGGAAGTGCAGACACAGCCGAGTATGGCAAGCCATTTGCTCGGGCTCATCACTGGGCGCGCCTCCCTTGGAGGCACGGCTGCAAAACAGGAGCTGTCGGAAGTAGCTTCGGTGCAAAGATGGGCACGCCTTGCAACCAGCTGCCAAACTGGTCTCTGAGCGAGATGCGAACAGAACCCGGTCCAGATCACCCATGAGGAAGGCCTCCCAAAGTCAGACTCCTGATGCGGAGTCTGAGCTCATCGAGCCAGACACCCACGTAGCTTTCCTGAAGTGGATGGGCTACAAAGGGAGAATCCAGGAGCTTGAAGAGCCTTACAGGATGGACGAATGGATGAAATCAGTAAGCCTCATGCTGACCCACAGCCTTGTGACTCAGAAGTTCAAAGCGCTTGGCAAGGATATGACACAGGAGCCGCGTAGCAAGCAAGTCTTCGAGCTCTACATGGAGTTCCTGGCTTGACTAGTGCAGGAGCCAAGCGCAGTCAACACCGCATGTTGTGAGACTGGGTGCCGATCCGCTGAGACTGAAAGGAGTTTGAGTGTATCTTTCTTTCTTCATAACTGGTGGAGACCCCACAAGCTGGCAGTTTGCGTGTGGTTGCTTGCAATATGGCTCCTTCATATCTATGTGCCATTGGTGATTTGTGCTGCCATTGTTCGTGCACAGAGAGAGGCAGCGCAGCAGATAGCAACTGATGCTGTTTTGACAGCCTCGCTGAAATATGTTGCCGAAAGCCTCCTGTGGAACCCTGGTGGCCTAGTCCATACTGCTGGCCAGTGGTTCACAAGCAGCTTGGGTGCGAGTGGACTGCTCAGCCTCATGCCTGGGCCTGCGTGACAGTTTGTCTCGGGGTGGGTTATGCAAAACTTGTTGCCTCCCTGTAATTCATATGCGCTTCGCATTGTTTGGATGCAAACCATGTAGATGCCAGCAGCGAACATTCACCTGCAGAGATTTGAAGCCTGACAGGCACATCAGGAAACAGATGCCTGAGAATTGTCATGTCGACTACCTTTCCGTTAATCATCCTCAGGCATGAGTGGCCCGAGCCGGCCACTCGGGCCTCTAAGAGTCCCTCGCGCGCTCATAGACTCTTGGAGGTAGGCGCCGCCCGCTCAAAATGAACGTGCGCAGCGCGTAAAGTGGAAGGCCTCACAGGTCTTTGCATCCAACACATATATTGTTGGAAAACGATAGGCCGCTCACCAAAAACGATAGGTCGAATTTTCATACAACTAAAGTTGTACTACCAGAGAAGGAAATTCCATCCGGTTGCCGGAGACAGCTCTTCTAGAACTAAAGTTGTACTACCAGAGAACGAAAATCCATCTGGTTGCCGGAGTTTGCCCTTGCAGTACTAAAGTTGTACTACCAAAAAGACAAACTGGCCCGCAACCAAAACTTGGAAAACGATAGGCCACTCACCAAAATCCAATGTACAAGGCCCACACTGGGAATTTAGACCGTACCTCATTCATAAAGGCATACAGGCCAATTCCGAAGCAACTGCCAGGGCGGAATGCCAAGCTACATTTATGTATCAGGCGTATGACGTGGCCCACCCGACTCCTCTCCAGCATGTCCGTGCGCACCGCTGGTTGGGAATGATGAGGGATAATGAAGCCAGTTTCAACAGACAGGCCATTGGCCTTCTAGTGGATCAGCAGTCTAAGGTTGCAGGCATTGCCGGTTTAGTGGCCTCTGGTGTATTTCCCCTACCTGGGGCCCTACGGCCCTCCTTGTTTTGCTCCCAGTTTGGACGGTGGCTCTGGGGTATTTCCCAGAAGGCTCAAGCCTCTTTGAGTGCTGCATTGGCCTGTTGGGCCAAAGCAATCCTGGGAGCTGACCCTTGGCAAAAATCAGCCAGTAGTAGTAACTGTGGCGCTGGGCAGGCAATTTTTTGGCGGAACCTTGTCTGTGTGTCTTGGATATTGTTTTCGAGCAAACCCGGAACAGCACCTTGGCTGGGCTTGTTTTCAGATTGTCCTCTGTATGTTCCTTTTCGTGGACAGCCCAATCCAAGAGAACTCTCGAACAGTGGGTTTGCTTGACTGGCCGGCGTGGTCCGCTTTGAGCAAGGAGATGCGGCATCCAATGTTGAATGTGTTGCACACTGTAAGGGACATGTGCTTGAAGCCTGTCAAATGGAATGGACGGCGGCAGGTGCTGAACACAACTTCCCATTTATGTACCTCTGCCCCCTGAGTGACTACATGGCCTGATTCAGTACCGGCTGCCCTGGACACAGCTAAAAGGCGTGCTGTCTTCCATTCGTTTTCGTGCTGGCCTTCTCGAGCTCGGACATGTGGCAGGAAAATTCTCTAGGGCTCAGGTAGTGAACTGCTTTGCTAGTGGGAAGCGCTATTCGCAAGCGATACTGTGAAGTCACGTCTGCGTCGGATGCCCAGCCGCTGCAACGGATGCTATGCAACCTGACTTTTTTGGGGGACATTTGGCTGATGTCTTCGTCATGCGCGTATCCTGAAGTCCTTCGGTTGGCAGACTCTATATAGTGCCGCAGCACGCCAGGTTCTGAAAAGGGGCATTCCAATGAGATATACGGGTTCTTTTCGTGTTATTGTTGCTGTTGTTGTTTGTTCGTTTTTGGGTGCTCTAACCAGAGGGGCGTGTCCGACAAACAGAAAGTTGCCAGGTTTGCTCGGTGACAATGGTGCTTTAAGGCCCGTCCACCCATACAAGACTGTTGCTTGGTTTTCCTTTCTTTGCATCTCTTGGACGAGAGATCTGCATGCGACCAGCTCGTGTCGCCAGAACCGAACAGTGCGTATGTAGGAAGCACTTTGAGCCCCGCATTTTTGGGCTGCTCTGAGCCATTGAAAATGGTTATGGAAATGACTGGGCCCTGCCAGATTGAGACCCACAATCTTCAGACCCCTCATCTTTCTCATTTTTTGTGGAGATTTGTGGCTGCCGTTCGCTTGGTACATGAAGCCGTCTATAGGTTTTTGTGCTTGCTGGCAGTTTGCGACGGAGTACAGTTCGGTTCTTTATGGGGGGTAGGGTGTAACGTCGTGTCCTTTTTGTCTGGTCACCTGCATGTCAACTAGCTGGAAGCTACGAACAAGTGTTTCACGTACTTCCACGAGCGCGTGGGATGGGATTCGAAGTGCCGTTCCGGGACTGGTCGAACCTGTTTCAAACCCTTCGCTGAACAACAAGGTGCTAGCTTAATCACTTCTGCCAAAGTTCACCTAGAACGCAAGCCACCTTGTTGCACTGGTGTAAGGTTGAAGGAATATTGGAGGAATTGAGGTTTAGTATCAGATTAACTTTCAGTTGCAAAAGCCAGTAGACCAGAGCTATTCGGATAAATGTTTGCAGTTGACCTGATTTTGAAAACTTGCAACCCAAACCTTTGTGCCAGCTCTACACGCAGCCCTAAACCCTGAACGTCTACTTTCAACTCTGCCAGCTGAAAGGAGCGTTGGGAGCGGTTGCAAGGTCCCCTCGTCCCTGGCCTGCAATGTTGCAGCTACAGCTGTTTCTTATCCCTAAGTTAGTTTTTCAAATGATTTTTATTTAAGGGCTGACGCCGTGCC